GGTGTTGAGGGGTGAGGTGAGTGGCAGCTGGTCCCAAGCAGTGGAGAGGGCAGGAGAGGGAGTAAAACGTCGTCTTCCAGGGGTGCACACGGAGGAGGGGGCGCTGCCCAGGCTCGGAGGGGAGCGGAGCGTGGAGAGGAGAGAGGTGCCTGACCCCATCCGCCCAGCGCTCGGCTCCGCCTGGAAACTGCAAGTCCTGGGCGGGGAGAAGTGGCACCCGCGGGGCAGGGCGGGCGGGGACAGCAGGCGCAGGAGGCCGCCCCACCCCAGCGCCCAACTGCAGACCTGGGTCGGTCGGCCTCGGACCCCGTAGGCGCCTGCGGAGCTGGGGTCAGGGAACCGACAGCTCTGCCACGGGCTCTACAGGGGACACCGGCCCCTGGCGGCCCCGCCCAGGCCGAACAAGGCGGAGACCGTGCGTCCAGGAAGCTCTGGTGACCTGCGGGCGGGGCAGAAGCCGGAGGCGGGCGGAGGGGCTCGACTCCGCGACGCAGACTCCTGGGTCCACGGCAGCCCTGGCCGGGAAGTGAGGCGGTTCGGCAGCTTCAACAGCGCCTGCCGGACCCCGGGGAGCAGCGGGCTCGCCGCCGACGCTGGACGGCGTCCCGGCTTCGGCGGGGACGGCCGGAGCCAGGGCCCTGCGGGGACCATGGGAGCCGCTCAGCCGAGGTGGACCCGGGGGCCCCCTCACACCTCACCTTCCTTCCGAAGGGCCGGGGCTAGGGACGCAGTGGAGGGCGACGGGCTTGAGCCGAGCAGCGCCCGAGCTATCCCTGGCCGGGTCCCCACACCTGCGCGCGCGGGCGTCCCCGGGGTCGGGGTCGCGAGGAATCGAGGTCCCCGTAGCCCCGGGCCCGGCAGGCCTGCGCAGTCAGCCCACCCTGGCGAGGGGCCCAAGCACCTGCATTTAACCGGTCCCGATCTCGGCACGTGGTCGCGTCGCTGTGGTGGCAGACTCGGGCCAGCTCCTGGACGCTTTGGTGCGAGAGGGAAGGTGCCCCTGCGGACGGCCCGGGTGCCGGGTGCCGGGTGCTACCCCGCTGCCACGCGGAGGTGGAGAACGCCAGGCAGCCTGCCGTCCTAATTGGAAGTGGATGTTAAAGAGGAGAAATTCAGTTTTGTCAAGTGAAATGTCGCGGATTTCGAGTCTCAAGCCCACCCCTAGCCCTTTGGTATTTGGCTATCTTTATCCTCGGCAGTGTGTGATTCCCATGTTTCAAAGAAAGAACTTTAAAGGTTCATAAAGCTCCAAAGATTTCAAATAGCTCTTTTAAAAGCACTTTGATGGTTTAAATGCAGGCACATGAATTACATATCTCTTAAATTACACAGGGTTTTAAATCTAAGGGAAAATGTCTTTGGCAAAATGAATTGGGGTTTTTTTCTTGCGTAAGTAGGTTTGTGTGTGTGTGTGTGTGTGTGTGTGTGTGTGCAACATATTCCGATCCATAGCAGGTGGGGGAAGGGAGGCAGCAGGTGAGGATGCAGGGCTTCCTGCCACCTGGCTCCTGCTCTCTCACAGCAGAGTGGGCATTCGCTGGCCTGGCCCTCTGTGATCCTCTCAGGTGAAGACAGCCATGTGGCCACGTCTGACCCTTGAAAGTCAAAAGGATGAATTCCTCCAGGGAGAGGGTGCCTCCCCTCTTCATACCATCTCTGCCCAGATGCACGGTGAATGGGGGAATGAATGATACAAACATCTCATGGAGATACAGTCACATCTCCACTCACTACGCCGGCAGCTAGCCTGTGACCAGCAGCAACTGATCAAAAGATCAATATCACCAGGTCAAACCTTCAAGAAAACAGCAGCAAACAGAAGCTCCAGGGAGCAGTTTGGTACAGCAGTCCCGGATTATCCAGTTTCACTTTCCATGGTTTCAGTAACCAATAGTCAACCATGGTCTGAAAATAGGTGAGTACAGTGTAATATATTTTGAGAGAGCGGGAGACCACATTCGCATCACTTTTATTACAATATATTGTTATAATTGTTCTATTTTATTATTGATCTCTTACTGTGCCTAATTCACAAATTAAACTTGATCATAGGTATGTATGTATAGGAAAACACGTAGCATATATAGGGTTTGGTGCTGTCCAAAGTTTCAGGCATCCCCTGGGGCTCTTGGAAAATATCCCCCATTGATAAGGGGAACTTACTGTATCATGAACGCTCACACAGTGTCAGGCCGCACAGGCTTGAATTCCTGCTCTGCTGCTTATTATCAGGGTGACCTCTCTAATCCTCAGTACCCTTATCTATAAAATGATATCATAGTGGTCCCTCTGGCACTGGATTGTTGTGAGAATTGTTCTAGATATATATGAAGCTCTCAGTAAATGGCCCACCCCACGGGCACCTTTGTGAGATGGTGGTGATGTAGAGGATAATAGTGGTGATGGTGACTGTACTGGCAATGGTGGGGTGAGGATGGTGGGAGTGATGGGGTGATGCTGATGATGATGGTGGTAAGGATGAGGGTGATACCGGTGGTAGTGGTTATGGTGATGTTGATGATGAGGGTGGGGGTGATGGTGGTGATGATGGCGATTGTGAGGGTGATGATGGTGGTAAGGACAAAGGTGATGGTAGTGGTAGTGGTTACAGTGAGGGTTGGGGTGAGGGTGATGATGGTGATGTGGTGATGATGATGGTGATCCTGGGTCTGATGGGGTGATGGTGATGATGGTGGTAAGGATGAGGGTGATAGTGGTGACAGTGGTTGTGGTGATGGTGATGAGGGTGGGGGTGATGGTGGTGATGATGGTTTGGATGGTGATTGTGGGGGTGATGATGGTGGTAAGGATGAGGGTGATACTGGCGGTAGTGGTTATGGTGATGATGATGATGAGGGTGGGGATGTTGGTGATGATGGTGACAGTGGTTATGGTGAGCATGATGGTGGTAATGGTGGTGATGATGATGGTGATCATGGGACTGATGGGGGTGATGGTGGTGGTGATGATGGTGATTGTGGAGGTGACGATGGTAGTAAGGATGAAGGTAATAGTGGTAGTGATTATGGTGATGGTAATGATGCGGGTGTGGGTAATGGTGGTGATGATAGTGATGGCGGTGATGGTAATTGTGGGGGTGATGGTGGTGATAGTGGTTATGGTGAGTGTGAGGGTGAGGGTGATGGTGTTGGTGAGGATGAGGGTGGTGATAGTGGTGGGGTGGTGATGAGGTGGTGGTAGTGAGGATGATCAGGATGATGAGGTGGTGATGGTGAGGATCAGGGTGATGTTAGTGGTGGTGGTGATGGTGGTCACCCCACAAGCTCTCTTACAGCAGCTGGGTCCCCATGTTATCACCAGTCTCTCCTGGTGTTGTCTATACCTCCTGTCTGTGTCAGGCGTTTTGGTGCACAGCATGTCTCATCACCCATCCTGTTATTCACCCCCAAGGGCGCTGTCCCTGCCCCTCTTCCACCATCAGCTCTATAGGGCAGGAACCAGTGCTGACACACACAGCCATGGCAGCTGGCAGTCTTCCGGGGTGGTGGGATTACACACCCTCCAGCCTAAGAGCATCCCCTCCTCCCAGGCCTGAGAGATTCATCTGTGGGGCAGATGTGCAGAGGCCAGACCTCCTGCTGTGCTCAGCACAGGAAACTTTGCCAGGGAGTCCTCAACAGTCTTGTGCGTGTGTGAGCAAAGGGAGAAAAGAGGACCCTCTAAACTATTTCTTAGAACAATAAGCTTGGGAATGAGATTTGCTTAGAAGAAAGTATTTCAAAGACAGCTCTTAGGGTCATGGTTCTTCCTGAGAAGCAGAACATATCGGCAGACCACCTTGTGGAAGGGCCAGGTCCAGTCACGTAATTTCCCACTTCCCACTCTTCTCAGGAGCCCTTTGCACAGAAAGTCTCCTCGATCACATCTCATCCCATCCCCAGGAGTTCTCGGTCTGTCCCCCTTGCCCTTGATTGACATGATGCCAGTTGTCATTTCTTTGGTTTATGTGCATGTTCCATATTTATTGATCTATCTGGCCCCGGTGCCCCAGTTCCAACCGGGATTGTAAGACCCTGGAGGGCAATGCCCCTGATCTTCCTTGAATGTCCCACACATCATTTAGCAGACAGGAGGGGAGCACCCCCACTTTATGCATCCCCCACGGGCCTAGAATGGTGCTTTGCACATACTGGGCATTGGCAAATGTCTACTGAATAGACAAGTGGCCAGAAGGGGTGGGGGTAAATGCCATCATCTCAAAGCAAGCGCTATCCTTGTCCTTCTCAACTCAGGTGGCCCCAAATGTCGTGTGTGTGGGCTGGGGTTATGTTCAAGGCGAGCTGCAACGTGAATGCCTCTGGAGGGGAGCCACTCAGCTCCAACACCTCTCCTTCTAAACACAGCCAGAGGCTCCTGGGGAACTTGCCTCCTCCTTCTCCCCAGGAAACGCTTTGTGATTTTAAGCAATCAATGTTATTAGATTTTTTCAAACGAATTCCTCGTCCAGTCGGTTTTCATGCCAAGCTCAGAAATGCTTCAAAACTCAACACCCTCCACAGCACAATGTCTGTGAAACTGCTAACTCCTGATTTTACCGCAGGATTCATTGTGGGGTTGGGGGCGGGGGGAGGGCTGATCTGGAGAAATCCGACAAGGCGCCACCACCACCCTAATCTCTCTCTATTACTGAAATGGACGGCGCGATGCGGATTGCTGCGGCTGTAAATCAGCTTTGTGTTGGGGCTAATCTGACACATTTTTCAAGTGTTGTTCTCCGTTCGGCTCGCAGGGAACTGCTCGGTTGGCACAAAGTTCGCCATCAATCTCCTCTGGTCGCTCCCACCGGCTTGACACCTCCTCCGAGCTGTCCTAATATTTTATACATAAACCAGTTTGGATTCACAGGGCATTCCAACTAGTAAATGCTCTCAGATTCATCTTTATGGACTAGCAGCCCAGCCTTGTAGGCGTCCCAGCTTCTCAAGATTAAAAGGAGTTTTATTTGGTGTGTGATGCTGCGAGGGGAGGAGAGGCTGGCGGCTGGCGGCTTCTATTTTTATTACGCGTGCTCCTCTCCCGGGAGGAGGAGGGGGCGAGGCTGGAGCGATGCCTCGAGGGCGGAGCCCCCAGAGATGCAGCCTCTTCATTGCGCTTTTATTCCAGCCCCTCCCAGCCCCGTGTCTGGGCCCTTTGAGGCTCCCCAAGGCCTAAGCCAACAGGGATGTTTGCAGTGACCAGGTGTGCTTGTCTCGGCTGGTCACAGGGTCGCAGCCCAGTACCCTGGAAGAGGAACCCAGGATCAAATGGATTAGGACAACCACCGGGGGAGGGGCCGGCCCTACGGAGGAAATGAAAATAGTTGCAGTTTCATTTGCTTTAAGCACGGCCCTCGTAATAAATGCACACAGCAAATGTGCTGAGCAAACACCTCGGCATTCATCAATATGCGGGGGCTGTTTATTGCCTCATAAACTTGGAAGCAAGTGATATTGTCTCCTAAATCAATGGCTGCGCGGACAGCCTTGGGGCTCCAGAACTGCTCGGCCAGGCCGCGCCCGCGCTGAAATTAATGGCTAGAGCACTGACTGCAAGGTGCTTAGTCACTGCCGAGGGGATTAGGATCCATTCCAGGGGACAGCAGCCAACGTGAGTGTGTGTTTGCGGGGAGGACTGGTAGGCTGTGAGTGTCCTCATTTGGGAGCTCACTCCAGGGTGCAGGGCCAGTGACCCAGCCCTGGGGAGGGTGGGGATCTGGCTGCACCTGGCTCCAGCCTCTACCCCGGGGGAATCCCCAGCACCTTGCAGCCAGCCAGCTAAGGCTAAGTGCTGAGGAAGAGGATGGAAGGAGGGGAGCCAGGCAGCCAGGTTTCCAACGGGGATCCCGGGAAGTGTTGATGGAGGTGGAGGCTGCAGTGGGGACAGTCCTGTCCCATAAGGGCTTGGCCGCTTCTGGGAGGCTTCCAAGGTGGGATGGAATAAAGGACACCTACCCTTGGAAAAGGCTGTTGTGTTGACCCAGCCCATTAATGCAGCGCGACTGGGAGGAGCACTGTGGCCCAAGCCGGCCGCTGCCCTGCCCTTCCTGTAGGGTGTTGAATGGTGGCCCCCAAAGATATGTCTGCATCCTAATCCCTGAAACCTGTGAATGTGACCTGATTTGAAAAAGGAGTCTTTGCAGATAAAATGAAGGATCTTGCCATGAGGCGATCACCCTGGAGTACCTGTGTGGGCCCTAAATCCTCACCAGTGGCAAGCGTCCTTTAAGAGAGAGGCAAAGGGAGATTGGGACAGAAGGGAAGAACAGAGGAGGGGATGAGGCTATGTGGAGTCTGAGGCAGAGACTGGAGTGAGGTGGCTACAAGCCAAGGAATGCCAGGCCTGCCAGTGGCCGCTTGGTTTAGGGCCTCTTGCCTCTAAGCCACGAGAGAATGAACATGTTGTTTTAAGCCACCCAGGCTATGGTCATTGGTAACAGCAAACACAGAAACTAACACATGTCTCTTCCGCAAACCTGGGCTCCCCTAGAGTCCAGCAGCTGCTCCCTACATTTCTTGAGATGACTGGTTCTGGCCAGAAATGCCCAAACCAGTGGGGGCACTGGTTACCAAGACAGAGCCTTGGAAAAACTCCGAGCTTCCTTCTCTTGGCCTCAGCAATCACTCTAGTGTAATAATAGCGCCATTCAAAGCGCAGGTGGTTTTGTTCGCCTGAATTTGTTAACCTACTCAGGGACTTGGGACTCCTGCCAAGCGGAAGTATCACTTAAAGCAGCAGGTGCCCCCAGAATTTTACTGCGGTCAAAATTGAGCCTAGACAACATGGCAAAACCCCGAGTCTACTAAAAAATGCAAAAATTAGCTGAGCATGGTAGTGGGCACTTTTAATCTCAGCTACTTGGGAGGCTGAGGTAGGAGAATCGCTTGAACCCAGGAGGCGGAGGTTGCAGTGAGCCGAGATGGCACCATTGCACTCCAGCCTAAGCAACAGAGCAAGACTCCTTCTCGTCGGGGCTGGGGATGGGAAATGGGTCTGGGGACGAGCGACAGGAAGCTGTGATGCGGGGCGTGGGGCTTGCACCCCACTCACCCGTGCTGCCCAGGGGTGGTTTCCTTGTCCACACCCCAGCCGCTTTCCAGTTAAAGGTTTATTCTCAACCCCAGCCCTAGGTCCTGTGTCTCCAGTTGTCTCATTTGTTTCCCTTCAGGTGCCTATCCCTTCCACCTGGGGTAGAGATGGGTGGTGCCTGAGCCGGGGAAGAGAGGTTCGTAAGTCATTTCACAAGTGGGTGAGTTAACTGACTTGCCCACAGGCGGAGGCGGATGTGGAGCCAGATGCCCTCTGATAAGCGCAAGAGGGTGCTGTGGAGAAAAAGTCTGGGATTTTCTAGAGGGTCTTGCATTACCTTCAAAATTTTGAGTGTGGTTTAAGGTTCAACTCTCTGCCTTATAGGATCAGAAACCCCAAATCGTTCTCACCAGAGACAGAGGGCTTCCTCTCGCAGGGGCCCACGGAAAGTGTTTCAGGTGTGGGATGACAACTGATTAACTAATGATGAGAAAGATTTAGGCTCTACTGTGGGAAATCGCCAGTATTTTAATGCTTCTGCCCTATAAAAATGGCAATTTCATATGGTTCCACACTACTGCCACCACAGGGGCCTGGGATACTCGGATCCCTTTAACCTCAACTGTTCCCTGCAGGTCCTGAACACAGGAAGCCCAATTCTAATCCAAGAGGTTCTTGGTGTGCAGTGAACTGCAGCAGGGATTCTGGGACTAGAGGGCGGGCTGCTGCCCTGGCGGCTAGAGCTCTGGCACCCACCACTCCGCCATGATGCTCTCTTGTTGAACAAACACAACTTCTCTGGACACCAACATCAAACAAGGCAACTCTGTGACCAGATGGGCGAGACAAAAACAAGGCCACTTGTTTGAACAAGGTAATTACGTCTGAACACAGACACACACACACACACAGACACACACACACACACACAGACACACACACACACACCCCATTCAAGCCACAGAAGCAACCACCCATGCCTCCCTTTCACCCAATGTCAGTGATGGCTCCTTCCTTACCAATGACAGCCTTAGCTCGTGCTATTCATTCTCATCCTGGATAAAAACTAGTGATGCCAATCATACCCTATCCAGAGTGACCGCTCCCCAAGTCACCTAACACAAGCTCAAATCCTGTAACAAGGTCACCCGCCACCCTCTTACTGAGACCCCCCAAGTCTCTCCATGGTGAGCAGTTTCCCCTGTGACAACGAGTACCCAGAAACTCAATTTTATTCAACTGTGTGTTCCTGGTTTCTTTGGCTCAGGGGCATTGATAATGGCAACAGGCTCTGCCAGCCTGGACCTGGCCATCTCTGCATTGAGGACAGGCCTGCCAGCACCACCAGCACCACCAGTATCACCATGTCTGCCACTGTTGCCATGACCCCCCCCCACCATCATCACCACCACTGCCACTATAACCACTTCCAACATTGCCACAATGGCAGCCCTCTCAGTAGTAACACTGCCACCCCTACCAGCACAGTTCTCACCACCCCTCCCTCCCTGCTAAGTTTATCCTCCTTTAATTCCATGAGTTAAGAACTGTTGTCTCCATTTCCCCACATGAAGCTATTATGGCTCAGTCAGGTGTCATAGACCAAATGTTTGTGCCTTCCTGAACATTCACGTGTTGAGATCCTCTTCCCCCATGTCATGGCGTTAGGAGGTGAGACCTTTGGGAGGGGATTAGGTCATGAGGGTGGGGCCTTCATGAATGGGATTAGTGCCTTTAGAAAGGACACAAAGAGAGGACTTCCACCTGCAACCCGGAAGGCCATCACCAGAGCTCATCCAAGCTGCCATCTTTGTTACAGGGGCTTTAATGGACTGAGACACCAGGTCAGGAAACTGGCTCAAGACAGCATAGCAGGGCTGGATCCTGCTTCTCCTGAAGGAGAAGGCGTTGGGCCACCCCACATCCACCCCAATTTCACCCTATTTTCCCCATTGCCACCCCCTTCCCTCTTCTCCTTCCCCCTGCTCAGAAATGAGCTTCCAGCAGCTGTCTCTGGAACCCTCCGGGCAGTCCCAGCTGGCCCCATCTGACTGCAAATTGCTGCATTTAAGGTGGCTTTGCACATGTTGTCCCCAGTGCCTTGTGTGTGGATTTCACAACTGAAGATCTTATTTCCTTCATACCAAGTCCCCCAGTCTACCTCCCTGTTGCCACCATGTGCCAAATGCAGTGAGCACATAAATTCTTTCCAAAGCCAAGAATAGAAACCAAGATTTATGAGTCTCAATCTATTACTGTAACCAGCAGGATCACTTTCTCCCCATATCCTTTATTTCATGGCCATATTTTTCTTCATAAATGGCACCTTTTTAAGATGCTATATAAAGAGGCCCAATTCAAAGTTTTAAATTCAGATTATTTGGGCTATTTGAGAACATTCTAGGCAGCTGAACTATGAGTGGAAATGCCCTTTTTACATGCTTGAGTAAGTCCAAACAGCTTAAAGGATTTTCTTCAAGTTTTCAAAAAAAAAAAAAGATTTACTTCCGAACTGAGGAAAAAATATGATAAATTTCTGCACAAAAGCAATACCTTGAGAGAGAAATTGTGTATGTGGCTGTGAAAATCAGGGGCTTTGTAGAAATGCAACCCAGCCTACAAGCAAAGCTCCCACGGGCTCGTAATGGAGATGTCAAGGGTGCTTGCAGAGAAGCAGGCTCAGGTGGGTTTAGGGGTGTGTGAAGGCTGAGATCTCTTCTTCCAGTGCGTGTTTATGCTAACCCCCCAGAGATAAGGATTAGAGGTCCGGCATGGTGGCTCATGTCTGTAATCCCAGCACTTTGGGAGGCCGAGGAGGGTGAATCACTTGAGGCCAGAAGTTCAAGGCCAGCCTGGCCAACATGGTGAAACACTGTCTCTACTAAAAATACAAAAATCAGCTGCTCATGGTGGCACATGCCTGTAATCCCAGCTACTCCAGAGGCTGAGGCAGGAGAATCACTTGCACCTGGGAGATGGAGGTTTGCGTGAGCTGAGATCATGCCACTGCACATCTGGGAGACAGAGCAAGGCTCCGTCTCAAGAAAAATAAAAGGATTAGAAACAGAAATCATGCTCACCATAGTTTAAATTGTTATTGATTCTGTTGAGTGTGAACGGGGAGCTTTTCCGTTAGGGCACGGGATGGCATGTGGCACAGTTCACGGGAATGGCGGGAGCTTCCTGGCATGACAGAATTTCTCCTTTTATTGCTAGTGAGGCTGCACTGTGGTCTAGAAGCAGCTTCCAAAAATCTTCAAAAGACACGTTGCTGAGATGGTGCTGCTCACTCTCTGAGCTCCCGTGTGCACTTCCCAATCGCGGCTGCGGAGGAACAGGGTGCTGTGGTCTGCTGTTTGCACCCCAGACCTGCTAGCTGCATTTACCAGCTCCTGGGCCCCTCCTGAGGGGACTGCTCTCCAGACTCAGGGTCCTCTCCTGATTGGGGGTAGGGGGTGCTTCAAAATGCCTTCTCTGATTAGTTTCGAAAATGAGTGTTCCACGTGAGTGGCATGGAGGCCTCGCCCTGTCCCTCAAGGGCTGGACGACAAGAGAGTCCATGCTGTTGTCTTTCTTGAGAAAAACCTTTCGACCAGGTTCAAGGGTTCCTTAAGACTTGGATGGGTATCCAATTACTTTTCTTTTCTCTCAATGCATCATTAAAAATATTGGCTTCATAGAACACTTGTCTCATCTGTTTCGCTCCTAGACAACCCCTCTCCCCGCAAGAAAGACAAACCCCAGTCTCCCCAGACAGCAGCCCCATCTCCTCAAAGACCTTGGGCAGCTGCCAGCAGGGATAACGTGCTTTCCATCACACCAGGGAGGCTATGTGCTGTTGTTTCTGTTTTAATATTTCACAATGGTGATTCTGGCCAGAAATGAAAGCATTAAAAGGCTCTCTGGCTCATAAGCCCCCTGCCTGGCCCTGTCCTGCATGGGCAGGTCGTCACTCCTGATGCCAGCGGCAAACGCTTAGCAGGCGCTGCACTTTCCATGAAACGAAAACGCTCCAAGTCTAGAGCCAGAGTGGAGGGTACAGTGGCCCCTCTGCATCGCCCCCACCTTCCCCAGACCCACTTTCTCATTCACCGCGGGGCCCATCCCTCAATGGGGGACCTCTATTTGTTCTGTTCAGTGCAGGGCCCCGGCCCTCCCACACAGTGGGGTCCTGTGGCCTTGTCGTGGGGAAGTCCTGAGCTTCAGGTCCTCAGAGCCCCAAAGCCGTAAGGGGGCTGCTCTTGGTGCGCTGGCCTCCTTTGGACCCCGAGCGCCGCAAGACCAAGATGGATCAGAGCATCTGCAGCCGTGTCAGAAATACATTGATTTTTGTTACAGCCACGAGGCCCATCCAATTAAAAATAATCACCAGCGTGTTCCAAGTCCTTATTCTTGCCAAGCGCATTGATGGCTGCTCACATGGAACAATGCTGTTTGTTGAACATGGACTCATTTTCACAGCTGATCAGAGAAGAAATGTTGAAGCGTGCCCATGCCTCCAATCCTGGGCGGTCTGGAGGTTTTCCGACATGGTATTAATCCCCATAGGCCTTTAAGGGGCTTGGGCCAGGGCAGCTTTCCTTGTCTGGGGCTAGAGTCATCACTAACCATTTATTACATTTCTGTCTAGAGTCAGGGCACAGGCCAAGGTGAGGTCACAGAGAGAGAGGAGAGACGGCGATCCTATGTGGTGCCTGGGAAGCATTTATAAACTGCCAGCAGGTTGGGAGGGGAGGGACAGGCAGGTCCTTCGAAATTACATCTGCTACCACTTTGTAAACATAAAGGACAAATAGGAAAGAGACAGGACACAAACCTGCCCAGGTAGGGCTGTTTATTTGCTTATTGGTAGAGGCAGTGATGGGATGGAAAAGTCAGGCATTGATACCAGATAAACCCGGATTTGAATCCCAGCTCTACCACCAACTAGCTGTGTGACCTTAGGCAAGTCACTTACCCTCTCTGATGGCTGGTTTAATTATCTCTAAAGTCTAGCTAATAATACCTTCCTGCAGGGATTGAATGGCATTACCACTTATAAAGTCTTTAGAAGAGCACCTGGTGTATACCAACTCATCAAAGAACACAATTTTGAATACACTTCACAGTTTTCTGTAACTCTCAGCAATCTTCCTAATGTCTATTTGCTCAAGTCTGAAAGTATCCCAAGAGTCTATATTTAACGTTTTTCCCCTTCTGGTTGAGGGTAGCAAGGAATGAGAAATTATATACAGAAAAAGTTTCCTTGACAATTCCCATTTTTTGTTCTGGAGATATTCTTTCTTTCCAAGCTTTTAAAGGTTTCCTTTTTAGTCCAGATTTCTCTGTATAGAGCCACCATAGCAAGTTTGTTTTCTGGTCTGTGCGTTGGTTGGTTTGTTTTAAATGGAATCTGGCTCTGTTGCCGAGGCTGGAGTGCAGTGGCATGATTTCGGCTCACTGCAACCCCTGCTTCCTGGGTTCAAGCGATTCTCCTGCCTCAGCCTCCCGAGTAGCTGGGAATACAAGCATGCACCACCACCCCTGACTAATTTTTTGTACTGTTAGTAGAGATGGGGTTTCACCATGTTGCCCAGGCTGGTCTCAAACTCCTAACCTCAAGTGATCCACCTCCCAAAGTTCTGAACTTACAGGTGTGAGCCAGTGTGCCTGGCCCAGTCATATCATGTTCTGGCGAATACGGGTACAGAATGTCTGGGGTGTTAGCAGTATGACTGGGGGGGCGGTTCTCGATGTCCTTGCTGGTGTTTCCTTTCATGAGCTCTTTAGGTGTGTAGCTAGCTGAGGCCACATGGTACAGTGCTTAGGCAGGGGGCTGCGGAATTCATCCACCTGCTTTTAATCACTACCACAAACTGATTTTGTCAACCAAGTTCTCCAGTTCTCGTTTGTCTGTTAAAAAGGGGTGATAAGGATAATACCCTCTTCCTGGGACTGTTGACCCCACACACTGAGTTTTAGGTTCCTGACATCAAATGGACTGTTATTGTGTAATGTTGCACTCTTCGAAAACACCTTTTTCTAGAAAGTAACCAGATGATTTGTGACTCAGATTTGAGATCCCTCTGCTCAGTGTATTCACCAGAACTTAGTAGAGTTGTTCTTTTTTAATTTTGCCATGTTAGCAGGTGGGGAGTGGTTTTAATTTCCATTGCCCTAGAGACCAGTGATTTTGAGCATCTTTTCACGTGATTATTTGCCATCCATATATCTTCTTTAGCATTATCTGACAATTTGGCAAATTGTTCAAATCTTCTGTCATTTTTGCATTGTTTTCTTTTTTTATTATTTTGAGAGTTTAACAACTATATTCTAGGTATAAGTCCTTATAAGTATTTTGTCGATATTTTCTTCCAATCTATACCATGTGTTTTTATTCTCTTCACACTGTTTGTTTGTTTGTTTGTTTGTTTTGAGATAGGGTCTGGCTCTGTCACCCAGGCTGGAGTACAGTGGCATAATCACAGCTCACTGGAGCCTCAACTTTCCTGGGCTCAGGTGATCCTCCCACTTCAGCCTCATGAATAGCTGGGACTACAGGCACACACTACCACACCCAGCTAATTTTTTTTTTTTTTTTTTGTATTTTCTGTAGAGACAGGGTTTCACCATGTTGCCCAGGCTGGTCTCAAACTCCTGGGCTCAAATGATCAGCCCACCTTGGCCTCTTAAAGTGTTGGGATTACAGGTTTGAGCCACTGCACCAGGCCAACATTGTCTTTTGAAGTGCAGAAGTTTTTAATCTTGAAGAAGTGCAATTTATCACTTCTTTTTTCTCTTATAGATCATGCGTTTGGGTGTTGCAGCTAAGAAACTTTTGCCAAACCAAAGTCACAAAATTTTCTCCTACGTTTTCTTCTAGGAGTTTTATAGTTTAGTTTTTACATTGAGGTCGAGGATCATTTCGAAGCTAAGTTTTGTGTATGGTTTGAAGTTTGCATAGAGGTCCCATTTTTGCATATGGGTGTCCTGTTATTCCAGCATCAGTTATTGAAAAGATGATCCTTTCCCCATTGAATTGCCTTTGACCTTTGTTGAAAATCAGTGGACCACCCATGTGATGAGGGGTCTCAATTCATTTTATAATCTTGTATTAAAATTCCCTGCTTCTGGCCTTCATTCCCTGAAACTCCTCCCTGTTACACCCAGGCAGGGTCCCCCACTCTCAATCACGGGCATTGCTCACTGTATTGGGTCCCCACTGCAAAAAGCACTGACTGATCTCCTATACCCTGAAGTTCTGTGAACCTTGTCCCAGTGGAGCTTGGCTGCAGATGGGTGCACAGGCCTCTGAAAGGTTGGGGGGAGTCCCCTGCACCATGTTTTCCAGAAAGCCTGTCATTCGAAGAGCACTCCCCAGTGTGGACCACAGCTCTGCATGCCCAAGATGCTCTGAGACCCTGGCCAGGTTGGAGTCCGTGGAGCCCCTCCACTTCCTCCCACGCCCGCCCCATCCTTGCCTTCCCTTAACTCCAATCAGGCTGGAGAGCCTCCAAAAGAAACTTGATGAGAAGACCTGGTCTACCTTTGGAATACATGGAGGGTGGACTCCTCCAGCAGCCGGTCTTGGCCGCCTCTCCGGCAGCTGCCTAGGGAGGCAGAGCACGCGCGTCTGAGGGCTGCTGGCTGCATTTCCCAGCAGTTAGGAATTAGATGAAGCCATAACCAGCGCTATACTTGGCAAAGCACCTGGACACAATAGTATGCTTAATGAAATGATTAAATGTCTCCTTGGCGGAGCTTCATTTCATTGATTTAACTTTTATTGACCTCTGATGAATGTCTGCCAAAACTCTAGCGCAGCACAGAGAGGCTGGGCAGGCATCTGCCACCAGGCACGGTTTGGCCTTTGTCCCTTCTTTTTCCCCCACCTGGAGAACTCAGTGCCATCATTTCTGCTCTTTAAGCCACATCCCCTGGAGGTAAGTGAATGACTACTGAACTGGAAAAATTTTAATAAAAATGTTTCCTTTTTCAAAGAAAATTGGTCCTGGCGAGGCAGAAATGTAGAGGGCCGTGTTCCTTAACAATCCTCTATTCGATCCACTGAAAATCATATGGTTTGTATCTAGGACAAAACATATTTCCAGAGAGTCCTACCAAGATGTTTCATGGAAAATATTTTTCAAAGGGACAATTTTAACGGTAAGATTCATAGGAGAAGTCCTGTTCACTCTGTCCCTTCTGTAAGATTGACAGTGCCCTTCACCTTCACAAAGATGCTAAGAAAGTCTTGGAGGTTCGCCTGCCTAGCTCAATTCAACTGTTTTTGCAGCGTTACTTAAGCTAAGAACTTTTTTTTTTCACCTAAACTATTAACACCAGGGAACTCAGCTGGAAAATGACTTTCCAGAAAATTCCATAAAATGTTCACATAAAAGCAGTATCTGTTGCTGTGTTCTATTCAACAGAAGCCTTAGAATCGGTGAAGGGTGAGACAGTGAGGAACTGGGGCCACCCCAGGCGGCCTGCCTGCTTCTCTCTGGCATTCCTGGCCTGACCAGACATGAAAAGAAATCATGTTTTCCAGCGATCCTGAGAGTGTGGGGCCGGAAGCCCCAACCAAGTTCTGTGACTGACCAGTTGAGTAAGACTGTTGAACCCCCAGATCAGAAACAGCCCATCTCCCCAAGCTTACCACGGTGTATACTGACCTATGATTGCACAGTAAGTGGACAGCAGATAGTTTTTATCTTTTTTTCTCCTACCAGTTTTCTGAAGAGATTCATTTTTTTCCAAATGTCACAACTGAATTAAAAACAGGTTTTTTTGGTTTTTTTCCCCAACTTCCTTCCTTCTGCACTGCATCTCTTCCTTCTCCAAACTCATGTTTGGGACTAGGGATCTGCTATGAAAGACTTCCTTTTTTTTTTTGAGACAGAGTCTCTCTCTGTCGCCCATGCTGGAATGGAGTGGTGCAATCTTGGCTCACTGCAACCTCTACTCTGAGATTTAAGCAATTCTCCTGCCTCAGCCTTCTAAGTAGCTGGGATTACAGGCACTTGCCACAATGCCTGGCTAACTGTATTTTTAGTAGAGACGGGGTTTTACCATGTTGGTTGGGCTAATCTTAAATTCCTGACCTCAGGTGATCCACCTGCCTCGGTCTCCCAAAGTGCTGGGATTACAAGTGTGAGCCACCGTGCCTAGCCCAATCTGTCTTTTAAGAGGTATCAGCCATGAAAAAATGGAATACAACAGTGAAAGCTGCTCTCCCCACTTCGTATAGAGCTGCCACTGCTGCTAATGTGGAATTAGATTAGGGGTTGACTGTCCCTGTGAAATAAACTCTCCCTACAGTCAGAAAACATCTGGAAACCACAGAGTCAGCAGATAAAGCTCCACCTTCCCTCTCGCCGCTCCCCAGCTCCCCACACAGTGTGCTGGGCTGTCATCTGCATCCTGTGCATTCATTCTCATTCTTTATGCCTTGTTATTCTGTCAATTTCTTAATCTATTTATGCTGACTTTATTTTTAGTGGGCCTATTGTGACAGTGAATCCTGAAATTGCCTTGGTTGTTTTCTGAAAATGGCCGTTACTGAACCATAATGCAGACCCCAAATAAAATAATGTAAGCCCCAGGCAGTTTCTGGAGGTCTGCAGCTGCTGTCTACATTTAGAGCTGCATATCAATTCTCCCTTCGGAGGGGGTTGCCGGGAGAGGCAGCTCAGAAGGCAATGCCGTGTCATATTTAGATGAGCATCTCTGGGTCTTGCTAAAAATGCTCACTTCTTCCCCTTATGGAGAATTTCTTCAAACATTAATAAATTCCCTCCCCTCTCCCTATCTTTTGTTAGCAAACTATAAAAAATGCAAATGATCCAGAAACCAATTAATTTTTAGAAGGTTGCAGCTGCTTTGCTGTATTCACAAGACGTGGTGGGCACATTAGGGTGTGCATCTCAGGCACGAGCATGCAGAAGGCATCGGCTGCTTGTCGCAGTGGTGCTGGCTATCTCCAGACAGGAGCTGTCATTCCACTGTGTCCAAGCACACAGATGACTTCCACATTGCATTCCACATCCCAAGAACCTGCTTGTGAAGGGGACATGCCGGGGCAAGACGGTGGCCTTGTGATATATTTCCAGTGACACGATGAAAAGTTTCACCTTCTTGTACCAAGGAAATGCTCAATGGAGAGGCAGGGGTGCTGGCACTGGCATTCTTCAGCCCGCCTCTGGTATCTTAAGCCCTAGGGGCTTTGGGGGTTACAGCTACTGGAACTTGGTTAGATTTAGAGCTCATAATTGCAAACGTCAAAGTATTTATTTTTCTGGCGGTTCTGCAAAATGTCGAAATAATATTCCTGCAAGAGAACACTGTCAGTCTTCCTTCTACTTTCTATGACATTCAACCATACTGTTCACAGCTCACCCATCAGCCATTCTCCTTTTCCATTCTTCCCTTGTAGCAGAGGCTGGATGTGGTTGAGGTAGAAGGATCTCAATCCCATAATTTCAGCCTCCCAAGGTACACTGCGCCAGGTCCAAACTAATCACTGTGATCCCATGATTGGCCCAGGACTCAGCATGTGACCCCATTGAGGCTAATGGGACACAGAGCAAGCCTGCTGATGGGGCTTCTAGGAAATACTTTTATTTTTCTTCGGCTACAAGACAAAGGTTCATAGGGAAAAGACCTTTCTGTACCTTCCCCAATCTCCTGCCTCCAATGCTTCTGTGTGATGATGTGATACTTGGAACATGGTGGCATCTTGTGACCATGAAGGGACAGACTTGGCATGGACAGCCATGTGCTGCTGCAGGTGGCAGAGCAGGTAACCAGGAAGCCTGGTGCCAACAGCCGTCCTTGTGCACCTGTGCCAGCCGGGACCTCCCACCTCTGGACTTCTGGCCCATGAGCTCACGCCCTGTCTTCACTGCCCAGTGCCTGTTGGTCAGCTGTTTCGTTACTTGTAATTGAAAGCATTCCTGATGGACTCAAGACTCTCTGAAGAAACCTTAGAGGTGTGTCACCTCTGCTGTCAGCCATTTGAATGCCCTCCCAGCACTTCCACACTAAATTCTAACTGCCTCCTGAGTCTCAACTCTTCTCCACAGTTCTCAAGTAGAAACTGTTATGATCCCCACTGTATAGATGAGCAAACTGAGGTGCAGCACACAACTTGTTCAGGACAATTAGCTAGTAAGTGACAGAGCTGGACTGAAACCCAGCAATTCGATGCAGCCATACTCTCAATATCAGGCTAATAGGTTGTCTACACCTGGATGGCATCTGAATTCAGTAGTTGCAGACACAGAGAACGCGGACATGCTCTGGGCAGCTGGGCCCTCTGCTGGAGACGCCTGCAGCTAACACCCCTCTGCTTATGGGGTATGTTTCCGTTGTGGTTGTTGAGCTAGTCACTCAGCCTCAGCTTCCTCCAGGCTGTTTCATCATCTTATCTGGAGGATTTCTTTTTTTTTTTTTTAATTGCATTTTAGGTTTTGGGATACATGTGAAGAACATGCAAGATAGTTTCAAAGGAAACGAGCAGCCTAGTGCCCAGAAAGAAAAGAAACCCTGAATCAGAGAGGGTTCTGCGAGTTCAAGGCCCCAGAGGCACAATAGCCCAGAAGCCCCAAGGACTTTCTATCAAAACTCACAGGTACAACCTTGAAAACACAGGAAAGGAAAACAAGAACTTGCCTTCTTGGGCAAAGGGAGCTGAAAGAGGCCAGGCCCAGAACTCCAGAGCTGAAATGGGAGCAGCTGCAGCCTGGCTGTTATTCCAAGCATGTCATGCTGAGAAGTAATGGGAGTGTGTGCTCATAACTGTCTGTGCTGTGGATTGAGGACGCGTCCCCCTGGAAGCATCGACTCTGCCCCCGAATCACTTGCTGAGGGTGTGCTGTGCAGAGGGGCTGCCCACACAGCTTCTCTATGTTGACCATTTTCTTGCTTTATGCAAAGTAATTGGCCAAGCATTGTACCAAAGAATGATAATTAATCCACTGGCTTAACCCTTGATGAAACTATTTTCTTTTCACGATCCAGCCTGAGTGTTGGGAGAGATGAAATAGAATGTTGAGAGGCTGAGGAGAAGGAGGCTTTTCCCATCTGGTGGGAGCAGCTGGATGACGGGCAGGTTACCCTGGTGTGTCTCAAGCCCTCGGCCACACACCACTCATGCTCATTCCTATCAAGGGAAGAACTGCTTTCAGCAAGCTAAGGCTGGCTTGAAAGGGGTCCAAGATCTGGAATATCCATCCCTTAGTTAAAAACCTTTCTCGAACTTCCTGTCCTTGTCCCCACCTATCCAGACAATCAGGGAGGCAGCCTAGGATCAGAGCCTGGCAGGGATAAGACACCTACCCCAAGGACAGACAAGGAACAGGCGAGATTCTAACAGGCTGGGGTGGGTTTCAATAGCAAACAGGCTGCAAATAACAGTAAGTCCTGCTAAACAGCACTGGAAGTGGAATCAACTTCACTTTGTACGTTCCGTCCTGAATGATATAAGAATACACACACACACACACACACACACAGAAAGAGAGAGAGAGAGAAATGGAGAGACTATGCCTATTAAGATTTGATGTGTTTCTAACCTATAGGATTTCTCTAAACATGCTGTGCAGGTCTTCCAGCAATAGATAATATAGAAAACTTCCAGAGACAGAGATGCCCTTCTGCTTCCAGCCCTCTGATAAAGTATGAGAGAGACAGATTTTTAATAATGTATATCCAAATAGGAGAGAAAAAGATACTGAAACTCTAACCTTGAGACAGCTCTAACCCTACATGGTAATATATGACCAGCAGTCACAGATTTTCCATCATTTTAAAATACACTTTTATGTATTTTAGAAATATTTGCCATAAGTATGTATTACTTCAACAATCAGAAAAACATTAAATTAATAATAAAATTAATATCAAGATGAAAGAGAAAAGACCCACAGAGCCTTTTCTGCATTTTCATTCTTGAATTATATAAAACACACACACATGTGCACACACACACAGGCACAGAAGTTTTTTTTAAAACTAAAATGGTGTTTTTTAATGGGAACCAGAAGTTGAACAATTACATAGTCCAGCACAAAAAAACCTGTATGCTGTCAGGAGTTGGAAGCTTACAAAGTAATGAGAGTAGCACTGGATACAAGAAGGAAAACAGTTCCAGGTTCCAGAGCCAGGCTAATACAACCTCTCCCTGCAAGCCTGTCTGTGCTCCCTCCTCAGTTCCATCTTACCAAGGCCAAAGCCGCCTCTGTCCTCAACACCCCAGCCCCCTTGGAAGCCCTTACAGTCCCCACCACAGCCCCAGTAGGCACATTGATCATAACCTCCTCTACCACCATGACAATCATCTCCATCGTTACCCACCATATGAGAGCCTCTGGTTCCCCACCTGGGCCATCTGGTTTAGGGGACTTACACTGGTTGCATTCCATTCACTCCTCCAAGGAATCATGCAGAAAACCATCACCACCACCATCGCCATCATCACCATCAACACCATCATGAACACCATCAACACCATCACCACCACCACCACCATCGCCATCAACACCATCACCAACACCATCAACACCATCACCACCACCATCACCATCATCACCATCAACATCATTACCACCATCACCATCACCAACACCACCAACACCATTAACACCACCATCACCCTCAACACCATCACCATAACCAACACCAACACCAACACCATCATCACAATCACCATCACCATCAACACATCAATACCATCAACACCACCATCAACACCAACACCACCATCACCATCAACACCATACCATCATCACTATCACCATAACCAACACCAACACCATCATCACAATCACCATCAACACATCAACACCATCAACATCACCATCACCAACACCATCACCATCAACACCACCATCACCATCAACACCATCAACATCATCACTATCACCATCAACACCTCACCATCAACACCACTATCACCACCATCAACACCACCATCGCCAACACCATCATCTGTTACCAGCATCACCATTGACACCATCCCCATCCCCATCATCATCATCACCATTAATCATCAAATAACCCATCATCAGCATCATCACCATCATCACCATGAAGCCACACCAGGATGCAGAGTGTGTTGAAGAGTAGAGGACACCAAGGAAGAGAAGTGGAGTGGTGGGATGTAGGGGCCAAGGCAGCCATATGGAGTGTCCCATATGGAATAGAACTTGGTCTCTGGAACTGGATTCTGTTTCTGCAAACTGCCAGCTTTGTGACATTGGAAAAGTCACTTAACCTCTCTGAGCCTTAGTGCCCATGCATGTAAAATCAGGATAATAATGGTCCCTGAGGTGATGATAAGAATTAAAATGTGTAGGCTGGGCACAGAGGCTCACGCTCCCAGCGTTTTAAGAGGCCAAGATAGGTGGATCCCTTGAGCTCAGGAGTTTGAGAACAGCCTGGGCAACATGGTGAAACACCACACACACCCACACACACACACATACACACACACACACAGTCAGGCCTGTGGTCCCAGCTGCTCTTGAGGATGAGGTGGGAAGATCCCTTGAGACTGGGAGACAGAGATTGCAGTGACCTGTGATCACACCACTGCACTCCAGCCTGGGTGACGGAGTAAAATCCTAACTCAAAACTTAAAAGAAAAGAATGAAAATGTATAAGCCCCTGGTCAAACTACTAGTCTGACCCAGGGCAGGGTCTCAGCAGCTTCTTCCACTGCTGCTGCTCCATCCCAGCAGGAGGTGGCAGGACTCAGGTGGAAGAGTCAGTTCAGTAAGCCACCCTGGAGATCTGGATGTCTGGAGAAGGTGGAGCACAGAGCATGCAGTGTGGAGGAGCAGGAAACTCCCGTGGGAGAAGAGGCAAGACTAACCATGACTGGACTCCGGAGGCCAGGGGCTATTGCTGGCATTTAAGGGATTGGGTGGCCACGAGGGCACTTTCAGCCAAGGGAACGAAAACACCTGACAGAAGCTGGCTGATCTGATAGTGAAACAGATTCTTTCAAATCCAGCACTGGAAGGGAAGGTGGCACCAGATTTGGTTCTTGGGCTCTGGGTCCCCCGTGGGCGGTGGCATCCAGACACAGTCTTCAGAATAAGGACCGTCTCTCCTGGTCTCTTTCTTAAAAGCCAAGATTCCTTCCCATGCTGAGTCCTGCGCCCACCTGCACCACTCACTCACTGCAGATTAGCATGATCCTGGGCTTGGGCCGATCAGAGTGTAGCCCTGGAGCTGCAGGTAGGGATGCTTGGCTCTGAGCCAAACAAAACTGGGGTTCATGAAGAAGAAACAGTTGTCGGGGGTAATGTCTGGGCAATGCACAGCACCCACTAAATCCTGAAGGGGATGTGGTGTAGAGAGAGGACTTCCCAGCCGGGTTGGGGCACTGCGCCCTGTGGCCACCCAATCCTACCCTGGAAAAGTTCGTCTTGGGCAGAAAGCTGTGCCGCTGTCCACCATGAGGGGTCAGCTGGGGGCTCCTCGAACATGGACTGCAGGCTACCATACAAAGTGGTGCATGAAGGATCTAGAACAGACCACATGCCCTCCTTACATGGAATTTTAGCAGAGCCCAGCATCTGACACAGATCAAAACAAACAGCATCTGTAGGGACTGCCTCCGGGACACCTGAGCCCAGCCCTGTGCTCAAACCTGAGCAAACTCCAGGACCCGGGTGCTTTTCTTGTCACTGCCTGAGAGCGTCAGGGGCGGTGCAATGGGCAGACTCAGCCAGAAGGCTTGGGGTGTCACAATGGCTAAGGGACAAGCTTAATGCCAGAGGGAGAGACGCAGGGTTGGTCCTTAGTTTCCACATGGCAGGTTATCCCCGGGGGGCTTCCAGCATTTTGTACCGGGGACCCACAGCCAATTTCAGGAGTCACGCGATCACTGTGCACTTCTCTCCAGGCAGGCCCACTAGGAGCCCTGGGCTCCCCTCCTCTTGTTTGACAGTATCTTGGGGTCTGAAGAGGGCTGGAAGTGATTCCTGGGCTGCCTGCTGTGGGTGTGGTTGGGTTTTCCCAGCTTCCTGGTCAAACCTGGAGAGTTTCCAAGGGCTTGGAGGAAGAGTCCCCTTCCTGGGAAGGCTGAATGCCCTGATCTCCAGACTGGGGACCCTCAGGCAGCCCACTTATATCACTGTGAAAATGGGGGCTCACTTGCACTCTCCCTTTCTCTTTTCCTCTCAGAGCCTTGTGCAATGCTTGTTTTGAGATAAATTTTTCACATCTGTGGAATCCTGCCTTCCACTCTGTGGCATATGAGTCCCCTCCCACTTCCCTCCCAGTGCCCTGGGCTTGGGTCCTGCCTTTTACTTTCAGTGTTTCACTGTGAACACTGAGGAAGGACCTCAGGTGTGTGAAAGCGCACACACCACTCCTGCTTAGCTTGCTGTCCCAGCCGGTCCTAAATCAAGCACCTTCCTCCACCAGATTATCCTCTAGCATTGGTTTAATGATAACCTATTCACTTGACAACAAGCAATTTAAATGTTTTTTTTTTTCCTTTTCCTTTTCTTTTCTTTTTTTCTTTCTTGCCTTGACCCAGCCAGCTTTTTTAGCCAGATAAGTGGTATTTTACCTTGGAAGCAATTATCATCATAATTACAGAGATGGCTGTCATTGGAAAGGTGATATTCTAGGAAAAGTGTCAGAGGCTCCTGGAAACTTTGCTCCAGAATCCACACTTGCAGCCAGCTCAGAATGTTTAATCAGTTTCTTCGCCTCTCTACCTGCTCTTTGGAAGTCAGCTCATGTCAGCGTCGGAGGTCACTTCCTGGTTTGGCTGGAGGTCTTCTGAAGGCTGGCTTCTGGAGTATTTAGGGCTGACTTATTGATCTATCTGCTGATTTTGAACCTTTGGCTTCAAGAATGTAGTGTATACACATTGCAGTCGCAAAATTACGTAAGCAAAAATTGTGATTTGTTTCTACAATTAAGTTAAATTTTTATCCTGAACTTCTTTTCTGTCTAATGGTTAGAAAACCTAATCTAGTCAACTGCAGATAAACTCAGACAATTTCATGAAATTTTTGTGCATAAGATCAGTTAAGAGCAGGATTTTCTGCCAGTTTTCTTGCTAGCATCTAGCTCATCGTGGGGCAGTTGGATGGGTGGTGGTTTTCCTGGTGTGGTAAGTTGCAAGCATGACCTGACTTCACCTCTCCCTCTATTCTGCCCTTTGCCACATAATTATCGTGTGTCCGCCATGCTGACGCCTGCCTCCATCGTGGGACCTGCTTTGGCCAATGGAATATCAGCAAGTGTGAAGCAATAAGAGCACTTGCATGATTAGACTTGCTTTCTCTTCCCCTCTGCCCTTGCCAGGAGAAGGACATGCCCCTGCCAGCCTGCCGATCCCAGGAGAAGAAAGAGAGGCAGGTGGAGCACAGCCAGCTCACCTGGATGGGATGGAGACCACCGTAGCCAGCAGCCCCAGACGTATGACAGAGCAGCCCACAGCTACTGCAGGCTCTTGGGAGAGCCTGTGTCAGGGGCTGAGCCCGGCGGGCTCGGAGCTAAATGCGTGTTTCCTGTGGTTAGGGAGCATGGCAGTGAAAGGGCACACACAGGAGGTCGTGCAATCCAGGGGAAACGTCTGCCCTTCCTGCACTTGCATTTGCAGAGCGAGAAGGTCTTCTTGTGGTTGGTTACTGATATCTTCTATTCCCAGTGGGATCCATTGGTTAGAACTGCCCCTCACAGGCCTGGAGTGGTGGCTCATGTAATTCCAGCACTTTGGGAGGCTGAGGTGGGCAGATTGCCTGAGGTCAGGAGTTCAAGACTAGCCTGGCCAACATGGTGAAACCCCATCTCTACTAAAAATATAAAAATTAGCCTGATGTAGTGGCAGGTGCCTGTAATCCCAGCTACTCGAGAGGCTGAGGCAGGGGAATCGCTAGAGCCCGGGAGGTGGAGGTTGCAGTGAGCCAAGATCATGCAACTGTACCCAGCCTGGGTGACAGAGTGAGACTCCATCTCTAAATAAATAAATAAATAAATAATAACTGGAAGATGGTGGTAACGTGATACAATAAGAAAATGTATGTAAAGAAACTTCAGTTAATGCCCTCAAAGTTTATCCTGTCACAAGAGTTTGATTAAATGGAGAACCTCCTTTTGATTTGAGGCGATTGGCCAATGAGAGTGTGGAACAAAGCTGAGTGAGTTTGAGAGCTGAGCAAGGAAGGGCTGGCTTGGCAGAGAGCCGTCTGGGAGAGCTACCTTCCACCGTCAAGGCTGATGCCATCGGTGGGCTGCTGGATAAATCACGTAGCCTCTCAAAGCCTCAATTTTCTCCTCTACAAAACAGGGGGTTGGATCAGATGATATTTTTGGTCCATTCCAGCTTTGAAGTTCTGTGACCCAGGATTCACGCCAAGAACAATTAAGGCCAGAGCCAGATTTCTGATCTTGCTGAATTGACCACCTCTCCTTCTTTAAACTGACAGTTTTCCTTTCAGTTTCTAAATCTGATGGTTGCTATAATTGTTGGGCATTGACAATGGACGTGGGATGACAGCTGGACCCCCATGCAAACATCAGAGTGTAACGGGACAAAGATCATGGGCTTTGAAGTGAGACCAACCTGGGGTTTATGTTAGGAGGTGTTCAGCTGAAAATAACTCACAAATACCTAACGTTGGCTTCAACCATAGGACATGTATCACTTTCTCACCAAGAAGTCTAGAGACAGGTGACCCTCGGCTTGGTTTGACAACTCCATGACGCCATTCTGAACCTGGACACAGCCCAAGCTTCCATTTTATGTCTTCAGCTTGTTGACTTCCTCCTTGTCACCTCATGGGTCTAAGAAGGCTGCCATCGGCCACACACCTGACATCCATAACATGTCCACACGCAGGAAGGAGACATGAATTCAAGAGGCATTGGTCCTTGATCTGTTCCCCACTTTTTACCAGGGAGAAAACTTTTCCAGAAGCCCCTTCTCCCAAAGTTTTCTCTTCCATCCCATTGTCCAGAATGGGTTACATGCCCATCCCATGCCACCCCTGCCCAAGGGGAACAGGATTCTTGTGAACAGCTAAGAGCAATCACAATCCGTCCCCTGGGGCCAGCCAGATTGCCATAAAAAACAAGGTGCAGCCAGTGCCGTGGCTCACCCCTGTAATCTCAGCACTTCAGGAGGCTGAGGCAGGAAGATCACGTCAGTCCAGGAGTTCGAGACCAGCCTGGGCTGCACAGTGAGACCCTGTCTCTACCAAAAAAATTAAAAGAATTAGCTGGATGTAGTGGCATGCACGAGTAGTCCCAGCCACTCAGGAGGCTGAGGTGGGAGGACTGCTTGAATCTGGGAGTGTGAGGCTGCACCATGATTGGGCCACTGCACTCCAGCCTGGGTGACAGAGTGAGACCCTGTTTCAACAAAAAAAGGGGGCCTGGAAGTTGGTAGGCAGCTAACGGGATCTGCCACACTGGATTTTTAATTTGGGCTTCATTCAATTGTGCGCCTGAGCAAATCACTCAGCATTCGTGAGCAGCATTTCCAGCATCTGGAAAACAGGATAGTCGTTCTCACTTCATGGGGCCATTGGGAAGAATATGTGGACAGCATCCAGGACATTTGACCAGACCACACGGGCACCCTTGCTCTTCCTGACATTACTGTGGATGACGGTGGAGGGGGCATGGTCTGTGCCCAGCCGTCTATTCCCAGGTTTCAGTTTCAATAAATTCCATTTCCACGGCAAGACACGCATGAGCGTTGCCAAAGTCAACATGCTCGGCTCGCGTGTTTACGGCTGCGGCACCTGCTGCTCTAACGAGGCTCTAGGCTGTTCTGTACATATTGGTTTTGGACAGTGGCTGCTGCGATTTTGTCTTCAGATTTCTTATGGGGGAGATTGAGCATCTGGCAACACGGCCTCTAACTGCGAGGAGTGTCCTAACAAGCACAGTGGTGGGTCGTGTGCTGGAATCGGCCTTCTGTGAGGGGAGAAAAAGGGCATTGCTTAGAGAAGGCACTGATTCCATTGGCAGGGTGACCTGTTTCATGCCCTATTGGGGTCTAATGGGTGTCTCGAATTTGCAAGCTCAAGTTGAACTCGGGGGTTTCCTGTTCTCTCCCCACAGCGGATCCGTCCGCCGCCTCTCTAAACAGAGCCTGAGCTGACCTCACCTTGTTCTCGTCTCTTCTTCTTTATCCCGCTCACTCTCTTGCAGTAGGCCCTGTCTGTTCCCCAGGCCCAGGACAGCCTCTCCCGCTGACCGTGCTGAGACAGAGGCTGGGCAGCATCAAGCTCTGCCCAGACTTTCTGGAGGCTTCCACTGCGAGAGGAACACAGTCCAGACCTTTCCCTGGCCCCTAGGCCTTATGATCTGGCCCCAGCTGCCCCTCAGGCCCCTCTTCCCACATAGGGCCAGCCTCAGGGCTCTTGGCATCTGCGGGGGCTGTGACCTAGGGACCCTGGCCTGGTCGTCGCTCTGCTGCCCTTTTGAAATTCTGACCAACTGTTGAACAGGAGGCCACATTTCCTTCCACAGTTGACACCACAGACTCTGTCCTGTCCCCACACTCTTTCTGTAGGTCTCTGGACACCCAAAGCTCCTCCTTTTTTCTTGAGGCTCAGGACTATTCCCCAGCCCTTGGAGTGGACCTGCCTTCCCAGCGCAGACTCCCCTGCCCGCCACTACCCCAAAACCCAGCAGGCCCTACTTCGTGGCCCTGTTCCCCACAGCCCTTGCCCTCCCTGTAAGCCATCTTCTCTATTTGTGGCATCTGGTTTCCCCCACATGCCAACCTCCAGGTGAGCTGTGCCACCTGTGTGTATACACTGGGGTCCCCATGCTTAAGACAGCAGGTGGCGCACGTGGACAGAGCATGCACTCAGGAAAACCACCGAATGAATGAATGAATGAAGAGCATAATGCAACCATCTGATTCCAGAATTTACATTCTGTTTTAGGCTTAGTGGAAGTAATTTAATATTCTGTGGTTTTGATTTGGGACAGGGTTCACTGAAGGAGAGGAAAATCAGTACGGCCTGTCTCTGCTTCGCTGGCACTGGCCTCTCAAAAGATGTGGTTAATTGGGTATTCTGAATATTCAGTGAGCAGCTCTAATGCTTTAATCAAATTAGGACTGAAGTAAAGGACAATGCCCAGAAGAGTCACCAGTGAGCGCATGCATGTGCGCGTGCACACACACACACACACAACCATATACATACACACATACACAAACACATACATACCACACATACACAAACACATACACACACACACAAACACATACATACCACACATACACAAACACACACAAATACAGACACATACACACATATACACAAACATACATACCACACACATACACGTATACACAAATACACATACACAAACATACACACACATGCACTCACATACACACACAAACACACACAAAAACACACACAGAAACACATGCACACACATACACAAACACAAACATACAAACACATGCACACATGCACATATATATACTCATGCACACACACATGCAAGCACACAAATGCACATACACACATACACATACACACAGAAACACAAAACACACATACGTACACAAACATGCACACACATGCACATACACACATGCATGCACACAAACGCACATACATACACATATGTACACACATACACATGCAAACATACACACTTGTACACACATACACAAACATATACAGTTCAAACATATACACTTGCACACATACACATACATACACACGAGTTTAGGGCGGCCACATCTCTTCTGAGTGGCTGCAGGTGCTCTGCAGAGAGACCGCACACAGCCCTGACCTGTGTCTGGCAGGGGCTCCAAGGACAAAGGCAGGTGGGCCCAAGTGAGGTTCACACTCCCCGACTCCAGGATGCTGAGGTCATGCAGCCTCTGCCCTCAGACCCAGCCCTCAGCAGCACCTGTGAGATCCAGCGTGATCCCCACTGCCCATCCCTGCGCTCTGGTCGCTACGGAAGGCTAGGAGTGGATTTTAGGTTTGAGGACAAAACATTAGTCTTCCTCCAAGAGGCCTAACACTGGGCCCCAGACAGTGCCCCAAGGCAGCTTGAATCCTCAAGTGGCTGTTTGCACTGTAAGCTGTGAGCACTACAGGGGGTGATGTAGGAAAAGGCTGGGGAGCATGTAGGAGGCTCAGCACGCAGCCTTGGCTTCTCTGCCAGCTGTCTCAGTTCCGAACAACAGAATGCACCCTGACCAGTTTGTGCAGGTGGAGAGTTATTAAAGTGTATGCGATGGTCCACCGGACCACTGTGAGGGCTGCAGAGACAGGTCAAGGCCAAGCTTCCAGGATCAGTGCTGAAAATCAGCTACTCAGCCACCGCACTGCCACCTGCACCCATGAGGCTTCTGCATGGGGCTAGAAGGGCCAGCCCAGGCCAATGCAACCCCAACTCCTGTCACCACGAGAACGAGGGGCACTTGATTCCACTCGTGCCAGTAAAACGAAGTCCAGACCTTGTTCCCACACATTGCTCCCGGAAGGTTATTTGGAGCAAGAGGGGCTGTGACACCCAGGATGAGCTGGCCTGTGGTAAGGTGCGGTTGATGGGGAACTCTGTGCCTTCAGGGAAGGCCACAGTGCTGTGCGCTGCAGGGAGCATGAGATGCAAAAGAAACCAACAAATAACAGGAAGCTTCAGAAAGTGTCCTTCACCCAGGTGGAGGGCTTGGCTTCTGCGTCCGAGGCCCTGGGCACAGATCTCCATGGGAGCCTGCCCAGAGCCTGTGGGGAAGGGGGCAGCAGGCCTGGCCGTTCTAAGCCAGCAGTGTGGAGCTGGGTAGCCTCTGCCGACCAGGGAGTTCTGTGTGCGGGTCCCAGTAGCAAGCCCTGTGGCTCCTGATGGCCCCTGCTGTGAGCTACTAATGGTGCAGTTTCTTCAACAGGCCATTGGGCTGGTGTCTGACTGCTGCCCAGGGAAAACTATCACCATAAACACGATCACTGCCACAATGTGCAGACTGCCCAGTGCTGAACTGAGCACTTTAAAACAAAATTTT